TATATATATATACGTTTATAAAGACGTTTTGTAATATATATATACGTTTATAAATACGTTTTGTTGTAAATACGTTTAAAAATACACAATAAAAATACGGTTTATTATATATATACGTTTCGTTGACTTTCGTTGACCGGGCCGGGCCGGGCCGGGCCTATAACCGGTTACATAACCGGTCCCGGTCCCAAAAAACGTCAAAAACCCTAACCGGTTCATAACCGGCGGTCCCTCAACCGGTCCCTACCGGTCCCGGTCTTAACCGGTCCCTCTCCGGTCCCGGTCCTCCGTCGGTTACGGGCCGGGCCGTGCCCATTTGGCCATCTCTAATTTGACCCGATGCCCTTTTATAACATGAATTTGATATGATTGTTAAGTCATTGATTAAGTTCAACGAAAATGCCCACTAATAAGCATGATTCAAATGTATTCTTTTTGTAGATCTACTAAAACATAACAGGATTATGGGGATTTTCAGCTATTCGAATAAGCATACGTATACACATATTGCTTTAATTTTGTGGCTTCTGTAGACGGTTTAAATAACTCAATGTCTACATTTTAAATATAAAAAAGTTCGTTCAGTTTGTGTGATTTGGTTGGATTTGGAATTATGGGTTGTTTTACAGTTGCTGAATGGTTTGGTGAAGAGGGTTGGTATATACCGACTCGTTGGCATACAACTTTTTCGAATTATATTTTCATTTTGCACCCTTCTTTCATCATATTTACATTTCGTACCTTACCACATTTTGTTTAATTAATCTAATTTATTATAAATCTATAATAAAATCAAATATATTTTATAACATAATACATTATTAAAAAAGCTTTCGTCAAGATGATCAAAATGACATCAATATTGAATACCTAAAAAATTTATTCATTTTTTAACGAACTCATTTTTTTTTAATGTTAAGTAATTTTTATTTAAAAAAAATATGATGTGAACTTTAAAACGACAAATTAAATGAGAGGCTTTTATAAAATATTTTAAATGGATGATGGTAGATTATAATGTAATTGATGAAAAAGCTTTTGGAAAGACTTTGGCATCGGAAAAGATCTATAAAAATAGGTTTTTGTTAAAAAAAATGTTAGCAGAAAGCTGATGTGGCAAAAATAAAAAGTATTTGAACGGGTCATACATTGTGTATGCTCCTTAAAGTATCATGGCTAGAGTTGTTCATGGGCAGGGTGACCCGTTAGACCCGGTCTATCCGGCCCGCTAAAAATACGGGTTTGGACAACTATAATCGAGAAAATGGACGGATCCAGGTTTGTTCGTTAAAATTAATAGGTGGACATAGACAATGTAAAAATAAATATAGACAGGTCCGCATGACCCGTTTATGTTTTATAATTAATTTTTTTTACCATTAATTAAAATTATATCAGTATATTTTAAAAATAAATTATTAAGATTATAAGATGGGGGTTGAGACTCTTTGGTGGTTTCTTGAGAACCCAAAAGGCTCTGTCTTATATTTGTT